CCCCCCCCCCCCCACTTATAAGCTTAACATCGAGAGTCTGATGATAAGCTCCATATTCTCTTAAAACTTAAGTCTCCCTTCCCGTTTAAAATATTTTAATCCTTTAACCCCCAAATACGATTGTTTCTAAATTCTCCCCTCTGGCTGCTACACATTTCCTTGTAACTTCGTAACGAGAATTTGGTGTTGGATCAAGATAGCAACTTCTGCCTGATGAATTTGAATATTCTTATCCCCTGTTTACAAGATAATGTATGAATGTTATGGGGAGAGGTTACATGTTAATCACTGGGAGTTAAAGGGCTAAAGCCTTTTAAATTGAGCTTTTCGTGAAAAGAAAATTGTGAGGAATATAGCTTTGTCCTTCAATTTAACGAAAACAAATATTACTTTTTCTTTCACCTCTACAAATGTAAATTCACGCATAAAAATCTCTCCACAAAACCAAAACTGAGCGATCAAAAATATTCGGAAGTCTGTTTTAATTCTCAGCTGACAGAAACCCCTTTGACATTGAATGACGAACCTTAAAATATTTCTTGCTAATTGGTATTTAATTAACCGCTTTCCTTATTTGCAGATCTTACTCGCGAAGTTTCTTGGATCGACTATCAACATGACAATCATTTCTTTAGCTGTTTGTTAATTACAGAAAGAGCATTTTTATAATTAATCTTTTGATAACAGCAAGCCGGTTTTGCTGTCTTTAAATATTAAATAAACTTTCTTTACTTTTTCGCGTAACCAAAAATCTAAGGACTAAATGTTTGTTGCGAATGAAAACACTTGGAAAATTTGGCGAAAAAGTGCATTAGTGCTGCGCTGTATGGGGCAGTAGAGCGAAGGATGCGGAAAGATCGGATGAGGACAATGAGAGATCAAAAGATTCTTTCAGCAACAAAATCGGTGATCAATCTGCTCCCCGCAAGAATTCTGCGTCAAACCATACGATAAATCCTTATCTACAAGCAATTTCTGGTCTTTCGTTATCTAAACAAAGTTTGAACCGATGACGAATATCGCAGGAAAAAACTGCATTTAGGCTATCGTTATTCGTTTCGTTTAACGGTGACACAAAGTGGACGAGGCGAAGTTGTGGTAAAGACATCCCAAATGTAAAACATGATTAACTCTGACAAGGCCTTTGGGAAAAATTTCCCGCACACACCAGAGTTTCTAAATGAAAGCTTAAGCTGTCACACTCGAAATTAACTTTTGGCTGGCTTAAGCTCTATATTTTTAACACCAGAGAATATTTTGTAAGTACCCTTTTCAGAAATTCGAATCATACCTTTGAGGGTTAGGTCAATGGGGTGGCAGAATTCTTACAAACATGACTCTGTTTTTGACCTCTGTCAACTAAGCCGACTTCTTACGCCTGGGCGTTACGAAAAAAAGTGTTTGAAATTCATATCTTCCAGTATTTCGCCTAACAAACGACCAAACAACACAAAAATGTACAGCTTGGTTCTCTCAGCATGGATGTCTCTTCTCGGGGCCGATTTGGAATTACTTATTTAAAATGACTTTTCGATTGAAATGAAAACAGCGGGCAAATATTTCAAAACGTGCATTAAAATTCAGTAGGCTTTCCTCTTTTTTTGCTAACATATGCGGACTGCTTTGAACCAAACGCTTGAAACACACACAAATGGGATAAAAAGGTCTGGAATTCAACAAGATTAAGTCAGAAAAGAGAGAATATTATTAGTTAATTCGTCGCTAACATAAAAGACCTGTGGCTGAATTGACAGCATGGAAATTACATAAATAACTTTTGGGAACTTGCGTCAATTACTAAAAACAGAAAAGTGTCTGTTTTCGGTGGAAAACATCTTAGGAAATACCGACAAATTGGAAAATACTATATGTAGCTGTAATGTTCCATTGTTTGTGTTATGACTAAGTCTTGCATATTTCATGCGAAAATGGAAGTGTCTATGTAAATTCATGCCTTTGATGCAGTGAACAGTTTTAGAGAGCGTATTCTGCGTTGGCGTGGATCGAATTAAGTTACTTTGATTCCGCCCGTAACACAACAGAGTTATTGTGAATCGAAGGAGTATTATAACTCGCGTGAAATACGTGTACGATAGCAATTTCAGTGGAAGTATTTTCACTCAAAATAAAGTGTAAAAATCATATACCACAATTCTGATCACAAAGTCTTCCTAGATTTCACGCAAAAGAAATAAAATCTTTGTCTTCTATGCCGGAAGACGACAATTTGTCTCTTTCGGAGGAATATCACTCTGAAATGAGGAAAAAAACTCGTAAATTATTTTGCACCTGTTTTTCAGTTCACACAGAGGCGGCTCTAGAGATTTCTAGGTTTCTGCTTTCATGTCAGCAAAATGCATATTTACACTTTCCTTAATGAAAATTAAGCAGTTTACGGGTAAGGCGGTTCGTTTGTTACAGCAATAACTTTTCCAACACTGGGATTTTACAGGGGCCGGATAGCAGTGTTCCTTGCTATTTCCGTGATAGTATTTTGAAGAAAAAATTTATTTTGATTCAAATTCTGTCATTTATTTTGACTGTAATGATTCTTTTCTCAATCGATTTCCAACCCCTGTTGTTGTTTCCCTTTTCGTGTGAGATCATTTTAAAATATTCACGTTTCACAGAGAAACATACGACCCTCCAATAAAACCGTCTCTTTCAATAACCGACCCAAAAATCCAATTACCTACCAGTGGTAAATTATTCATGCCACTTTGTCAAACATTGTAAATGGAAGTCTTTTTTCACCCGATTGTTCCAGCGCGTGAAGACTTTTGTCACCTTTCAGATATATTGAAATCAAGTGTCCCGAAATGGTGGTTTTCTTTTCTTAGGGATATTAATGCATGATGTCCGCGATAGTATTTAGAGGTTGTAATCAATAAAATTCGTTTAAGTCATTTTTCCTATCTGGAGCTTCAGTTCTAATCTCCATGGCTTCGATCGATGCGGATGATGCGCTGTTTTTAATTTGACTAGCCGGTTTAAATATTATCAGAGTTTCTTTCGGGCGGTTCACGTCTTGTTATGTAAGTGTAAATAACTTGCGCAAAAAAGAAACTGGATCAAGTTATGTTTCGTGGAATTTTTTGCTTTCTTCAGTTCAAAGATTAACCAAACACCACCTTGAGAATATTACAAATAATTCAACTTACCAATTTTGCCGTCGCCGTTCACATCAAATCGCCGAAACACACAAGCAGCAAGCCTCGAGGCATCTCCTTTGTCGAATACTTTCTTGTACATTTCTATAAATTGTTGTTTCGTTAAGTAACCACTCGGACAATCTTTCAAGAAGCCTTTGTACCACGACTTTAGTTCTTTTTCTTCGAACTTTGTGTTCTTCAAAAGGTCGCCCAAGACCTCAGGGTCAAGCTTTTTACTTTGCTTCTTACCCATTCTTAAATAAAAGGAAATCTTCGTTTTTCGACGGACACACCGCGCCCGAGCCGAAGAATTTCAACCAAGATGGCCGTCGTGTGTCCGGTCGGATTTTTGGCGATCACGACGGCTTTAACTTTCCGGCGACAGTTGACGATCGTTCAGCTAGTGTTCGTTGCTTGGTATGACCGTGAGGCGACGATCGACACTCCAGATGCACTGCATTTGCTATCGCATTAACAACAATTATTTTCTCTGGCGTCCTATCGAGGCAGAATCAGAAGCTGGTCTTGACATGGTCCAATTACATCAAAAAGGCAAGGCTGGTTTCTTGGCGGGGTATCTGTTTTCTGTCCGTCAGAGAACTGAGAATTTAACCGTTATACAAATACCTTAGACCAACGATTGCTGCGTTGTAGACGTATGCGGTCTTGAACACAGACTTCAAAAAATGAAAACAACTTTTCCAATCCTCAGCATAAATTAATATTTCCAAGAGAGTCAAACTCGTTCAAATTTGATTGACAATGTATGTGCGGCGTCCTATTCCTGTTGTGGTGTGCATGAAACCAATTCGGATAAAAAAAAATAAAATTGAAAAAAAATTTTGTAAAGAAGCGTATTCATACGAAATATCTGGAAAATCAAATTTCAAAGAATTTCCGCAGCTTTTATTTGACATTGTCTTATTCCGCCGTCAAAATGCAGTTTTTTTGTTTGGCGGCATAATTTCATTGTTTTTTTGTTTCATATATTAATATATCTCTTTTCCTTTTGCTGTTTCTAATTTCAAAGCTTATTTATCTTTGGTTATTAACCCAGCGCCATCTGATAGGAACATGAATACATTTGGAGAGTTCTAAAAACTGAGATGGGCTGTTGGTTTTTATTCTCAAAGAAGAAAAACATTCGAGCGGCAAACATGTTAAGAAGGCTGTGTTACAAAATACACCTGTCAACAAAATACATTTGTAAATTCTGCGCTCTTCATTTCTTTACGGACACTACTTTACTGGAGGAAAATTAGTAACGTACACCTTGGTCTGTTCGTGTTTGTTATTTCATGTTGAGTTTAAAAACTGACAACTCAAACACCTTTTGCTTAAGATGTTTAAAGATGATCGCTTTTGATAAGACGTTAAAAGCCTTAAGCAGTTATTTCTCTCTTAGACAAAAGCCGTAGGGTTACCTCCGTTTAGTAGGCATAAAAACAGGATCTTCACTTGTGCACAAAACGTCCAAACTTGAAAAGTTTGCAGTTACAAAGCAGATTTTTGCGTAAACATATCTATCTTTATATCCGAGATCTGACATCTCCGAATTAAGAAACGCATGACTAACATTTTAAATTTATCTAGAAAAAATAACATGCAGATGTTTGCGATTGGTTTTTATCACGCAAATAAGACACCGTGCGCATCACGCATCGTATCATATCCATCTGAGTGCTTTTTCATAAACTTCGCTTTAAGGCGCGGAAACAAGCTCTATTAGCTTATATTTTAGAACTGAGAGCTTCAAGGCGAAACGACCAAGGATGAAGTTGTGGAATATTATTTCCAATTTGCTATAAAACCATAAGAAAATATTCCCGAGTCCGCAATGATTAATTAAAACGAAATTTACATCGAAATAAGTGCGAATGACGTTTGCTAAGCAAGATAGACCCGACCTCAAAATGGTCGCAGGTAAACAAATGAGCGCGTTCAATTTACTTTGTCATTAGTCTTTATGTGGATGACAAAACTGGGCCGTGTAAATCAGACGTTCTGCATATTTCAATTAAAATTGATGCTAAGCTCTTGCCTCAAGCGAGAATAACACATCATTTGCACTTAAATATTCATTATTGCGCCTAATAGTGCATTATTATCCCAGAAAAATGATTGAATTTCCTGGAGTGGATAAATATTTTCTTGTGTGTTCGACTCTGTGTGATATCCATAGCATATTGGTCTGCTCTACACCACTGAACAATTACCCAAGTTTTCAACTTTTTTTTCTGAAGTGACTCGAAGATCAAGAAATGCGAAAAAAGAATCGTGTAATATTTCTGCTTTAGTTCGATTAAGGTCTTTCTTTTAAAAAAAGAACGCAAAATGCATCTTTGCCTTCCCTGGATAATGTTTCTACAATCTGGTAAATGTGTTGGAGAAGATAAAAGATTCAAGGGGAAATATCATAAATAAACATTTTTCCAAAAGGACGACATTGTAATTATTTCAGATTATATGACTATTATAGACCGACCATTATTTATCGCCTCGGGGATCTTAGGATTTTTGGCTGTTTTACAAAAGAATTCACCTGCTTCCTCCTTAAGGCTCTCTCATTAGAAGCTAATTTTTCATTTTCCCCTGTTTATACTCTTTTAGCGACGATAGATCTCCCCTTCGTTCCCCCCCTGAGACCATGTGGTCCCCCCGAAAATCCTTCCACCCCCTCCCCCCGGGATAACTTATGACTGGTTCCTTTACTCTTAAACTTACTTGTAACTTCTTCCTATAATATCCTTACATTATCCGGCCAACAGGTAATGAGAATACTCAGACTTATCAGAAAGAAGTTGTTATCTTGATCTAACACCAAGCTCTCAAAACTTATTAAAAACGAAATGTGTACCAGCCAGAGGGGAGAATTAACAATCAGATCTTGGGAGTTGAAGGGTTAACCCTTCAACCCTTAAGAGTGACTGACATCTAATTTCTCCTTAACAATATCATCCCCAAATCACACATAAAGGTCATGAGAATAAAGGAAATGACCAACGATAGAAGCTCTTGATTGTTCAACAAATTCTCCTTGTTAGCACCTGAGAGAACAGAATGGAGAATATGGCTACTGGTCTCACGGAGTAAAGGATAAATGGCGGTCGATCTTGATAGCTAAGCACATTACAAAAGGCCATGTGTCAACATGATCTGACGAGGATCGTTATCCAGTGAAGAGTTTCTTTGCCGTAATTATATGAAAACGTTTCATATTTTATCTCAAAAACCCAAACAAAAATCAGTCACATTTCAACACTCCTTTAAACGACGGCATGGAATTTCTCAGTGCTGTTTTGTAGAGTTAATGAAAATCTTATTTGATGAGTTTTAGGTCTATAGTTTCACGACTGAGATCAATTCTATTTTGTATCAATTTACTTTAAAATCAGCTCCACGTTTGGATCTTGAAATTCATAAAAGCGAGGTAAAGTCCCACAATTATTCTCTTTTAATGACGATTGACCTCCCTCCGTTCTCCCTGGAAACCATGTAAATCCCCCACCTCCCTCCCCCCGGAAGAATCCATCGAAGTTACACTTCAGAAGAAACTATTTATCATCTTTATTACTAGTAAGTAACCCTGTGCCTATCATAAGCGTGTACAGTAAATAGCTGGTTTTCAATAAATAAGTTTAATAAAATTGAGTGAGCTAATACTAACAAGACTTGTCTCTCACTAATATCATCGTACATTGCTAACAATTACTCTTTGCTATTTCAAACACGGAGCTCGTAGTTAGGTGTTCAAAAGAACTCCACAAATCGGAACCAATCACTGAAAAAGCAAGGCACAAAACTAACCAATGAAATTTGGAAGCCTATGTACATCACGGCGGGAAAACCCACGTGACCAGGTTGTGATTGGTTCTGATTTAGCAGTTGATTGGTCAAGTCAATGACACAAGTTTTTCCTGACCAATCACACTAAAGCAAATTCAAGTAAGAGCCACTACAATGCTAATAGAAGAATGAAACTGACTGAATCACACCGAGAGTGAACAGTCCAGAAATGATAATCCAGTCCATTACATCCTTATTCAATGTGTGGCAGCTGAAATATTACTCTCTTCATGATATTTATTGTTTGAACTTCGAATGATCACACTTCGGTGCCAGTTATTGGTTGTAAAAATGAAATCTTCATGTTTCTTTTCCCTGATGGAACCAAACTTGTTTCTAGATGATTCATTGTTTAATCAGAGAATCATTTGTTTTTAATGAATTGCGAATTCGAAGGACAAATAATGACGAGAGCTTTAGTAACTTACTACCAACGGAGCGTGAGGGCCATACTGGGGAATATTGGCCCGAAGTCGTGACAGTAAGGACCGAACGATGAAAGGTCCATAAAAAAACGACAGAGGGCCAATATTTACAAGTAGGGCTCGAGGAAGCGAGATAGGTAATTATTATTCATTTTTTTAAATGGCCTCGGACCAAACATGTAGTCTTTGAATTTGCCGGCTTTCGCGAACAAAACCGTCCTACGCACCATACGTGCCATACGCACCGTTTCCGGTGCGTATGTCAACATACCGACCGAGTAAGAGCCAATTAGGACGCTCGCATTTACCTTATTGCCTTATGATAATAAAGGATAACATTCACTCATAATGCTTATTTAACCTCTCTACCTGCAGCTCTGTTGGATCACTGGCAAGGCCAGAATACGCCACTAACTAATCGTAATTAAAAGGTAAAGAATCGACTTTAAAAAGAGCGGAAAACTATGCATGTTACGTAGTAACAAAGAAGCCCACGTTTTGGGTTAGGACCCATCGCTTATCATCTACATGAAGCACGATCTGCGAAGTATATCTGTGTATTTACTCTTCATTTACAATCTTTGGTTAAATTATTTTCCTTAAGGTGTATTATCACTCGTGATGCAGCTTACAAAAAAACCCCGGACGCTACGGATCCCTGTGGTTCGAGTTCAAAATACCGGTGGATCGTGGATGGTGGGCCTGTGGACCTTCTTCCGGGTAATGCAGCTTGTGAGACAAAGCTGCTGTTCTCTCAGTGAAGAAATCATTCTTCACCTGCATATTTAGAAGATGAGACACTCGCTAACAGATATGGTCTCGTGTGCCATAAAATCTCCGTGAACCAAAGAAATTCTCTATAATTCATCTAGGCTACTCTTTTTACACTTGTATTGCTTGTGGAATTCTAAATCTAAATCCCTCTAAAATATTTTCGGGATCTATGAAAAACTCCATAATTTTAAATTGTTGCACTTTTTTTTTTACAGGGTTAAGCTCTTGAGTTGTTCAGTGTCTTCTCATTTACACGTGCTGACAACAATAGTTCTCTTGCACTTATTGCACCTTACATAGCAGCACCATACGTACTCGCATTCACAGCGCTCCTCAATCACCCGTTTAAACGTGCGATGACCACGCCCACAACACATGTACGCGCAGCTTCCCTTCCCAGTGGTAGCGGGATTGCATTCTCTTCCGACCGTTCCATAAGTCCCCCGGGCTCGGGACGCGAGGCAGTAATTAGGAGATGGGTGCAAAGCAATAAGATCTCGGCTGTTGTATTTTTTCCCCCTCTTCGCTCTTAGGTAATGATTCTGGCGGCCTCTGGTCCTGCTAACGACATTAATAATGTTATCGTACTTTTTCTTGAGGAGCGTGGCAACATCTTTGAACTCACTCAGCCGCCTGAAGCATGTTTTCTTCTGGCACGAGCCAGACACTCCATGGCATCTACAGATAATAGCCAATTTATCTCTCACAGCCTGAAATCGAAGAGAAGTTTCAAGAAATAGTGACGATGTGATAGCTAAGAGTCTTAAATTACTGAATCGACCCGGACAGAGCAATATCAATTTCTGTATTTCAACAGGAACTTGAAAGTTTAGAGCGTTAAGCTCCCAGGTAGGCAATACGATGACCATTAACTTACAAATAATTAGCTTTAGGTCAACACGTCTTCAAGGGCTTACAGAGTTTTGGCCCACTTTAGGGAAAAGCTATGTTTCAAAGGGCTTTACTTGACTGAATAAGCTTCGCTGTCGTCAAAATCATGAGCACATTTTGACAAAAATTAGTACTCCCCTTTCTGATAGAATAAAACCATGATGTTGCTTTCTATCTCAGTGTGGTGATCTTTGTTTTAAAAGTTGAAACTGTGCTGCGGAACTCCATTTCACAACGGGATACCTTGGAAATGTCATCCACCAATTATTATTAAACAACATGCCTTGTTGGGCAGATACCGTCGCTAATTCCAGAAAAAATGCCTGAAATCATCAGCTTGATTTTATAGAGAACAAGGTTAACTTCTTGAAATTCCCGATGAAAGATTCCCTCGGAGTAGAACGCGCACCTTTTGCAGATTGCTTTGACGTCAGCGCACGTAGTTTGAATATCCCAAAAACGTAGATCCAAATAAGTTTACAAAAATTACTAGGATTTACCCTCGACAGAAATCCTCCAAATCAGCTTTAAAAAATGATTTCTATTCTTTTCCGTTGGCACTTGAACATTAGGGACCTTTAGCCTTTAGGACGGCAACGCCAAAGAAGACGTCGATTTAAAAATGAATATATATTTTTGGTTGGAATTTCGCGAATGAGTGGATGTGATTACCATCCCTTACGGCGCCGCAAGTTAACCTCAGCATAGCTTATGAGAGCGGCGTTGAGTTCCAAATGGAAACTTAGATAATTTGCCGTCGAGATTTCCTTTCTCGGACCACGCACAATTTTGATGATTTCACGTTGTTATTTTGCAGAGGACGGCTAAGAAATGTACACAGTTTGAAAACGCACGAGTTGAGCTATTGTTCTGCTCATTAGATTTTTTGTTTTGCCACGTCCTCGTTGCTGTCGCCGTCACCGTCGTGGTTTGCTAAAGGTCCGTATTGACTTTACATCAAGACAACATTATTCTGATTAATGGCAATTTTACACGCCACGATTCCTTCTTCTGTGATAGATTTCAAACAAGTGCTTGATCACCACTAGTGTTTTCACTTTTTTTGTAGCTATTGTGGTGAAAATATGTGTATGAACTTACTTTCTTGACATGGGCTATCTTCTTACTTATTTCAACCGCAATCCAATACACCGCAATATTAGCAAGGTGGAACTATGAACGAAGATCTCTTCGATAATTTTTCACGCACGACCTATATGGTTTCAACTCTCTCTGCTTCCAACAGTTTCAGATTTAGAAAGTGTACCTGAGAGGGGCCCCATTCATTACTACTTGAGTACAACACAATCAATTGAGTATCAAAGGATTCTTTTTATGACACATATGTGGTACTTAGTAAATATGATCTTACAAAATGCCAGTGGCTCGAAGACACTTTGACAGATTCCGCATCGAAAATTGTAGAAGTATGACCCTGTGCTGAGGTGTGAGGCCCACTCACAAAAGCAAAGATGAGTTCTTGCTGTCAAGAGCCATATTGAAGATCTCAAAACATAGAGGACCGGTTATTTAAACAAAGTTTAGCCGTTGTTTAACAAAACTGCGTTCTAACCTATCTTAAATTTAGCTGAATCTTTTTTCCAAACATTTATTTTTGTGATCAGTGTCAAGGGGGCCGAAAGCTATCAGGGGAGGGACATTTATTTAATGAAAATAACTCTCTTATAGAGAGTACACTGCTTGCGTACAACCGCGGTTTTGGTTAGACCTCGAGTAAACAACCGGCCCGGAAAGTTAACCTCGTCCTAACTACTAGTTTTTCAATACATTCATTTAACTGTCATCTCTGAATATTTTAAGTTGATAAAACAACTATGGTCGTAGATATGTTTTAAAAACCTCGACGAACCCGAAACTTGAATTGAATGCATATCAAAAAGCATTGTTTTGAGGTGTTCTATCGTCGCAGCGGTGATAAAATGAGGCTGGAGCTAACACTTTAACTCTCAAGATCTGATTATTAATTCTCCCCTCTCGTTGCTACACATTTATTTGTAAATTAGATACGAGAATGTAGAGTTCGATCAAGATAACAACTTCTACCTGATAACTTTGAGTATTCTCATTACCTACTTGCTGGATGATGTGTGGAAATTATATGGGGAAGTTACATGTTGACCAAATGTGGGAGCCAGTCAGAAGGTTACAATTGGGCGAAACTCATTTGCACAAAAGATGCGACGGACAAACGCCAGAAGAAATTTCCATTAACCAAGATCAAATGGAAAAACAAACCAATTATAAACCGATTAACAAGAATTTCATCTGTCATATAGCTAGCGACAGGTGTGCAATTTTCACGCTTTAAGGTAACGTGCCAGAATAAGACTCTTAAGACTCTGGACCGTATAATCGTTTTTCCAGACAAAGAATTATTCCTCCTGCTTTGGATTAAAACATCAAACCAAACCCATTCCTATACAGGAATTCTATGTTCTTTTGTTCTCAGCTAGCCATCTTTAAGCTGTAGTAATACTTGATCTGACTGACGTCGGGCGAAGACGACTTTAGCATTGTATACATTTATCGCATGGAAATTATTTGAACAAAGGTACATCATTCGTGTAAGTTTTGGCAAAAAACGTTGCTTTCTGTAAATTCCATTCAAGCAGGGGTTTTCATACCTTTTTCCCATGAGTGGCCGCCGATGATGTAACAGGTGGCTGTGCCGTGAGGCGAAAGCCAAACATGAGAGCCTGGATATAGTCGCAGGTTGAACAGACGGCGATGAGAGTTCCTAATGGGGGGGGGCCGCTAATCGGCTTTTGTTGCGAAACCCCTGGTTTAAGCCAGAATGTTTGAGATGATGAACGTAGAAAACTGGAGATTGCAGTTAGTGGATTAATACTTTTGTAACAAATGCAAAAGACTGAAACCAAATCGTTCATTTTTCAAATAAAGTAACAATAGCCCCCTCCGTAGAATACATACAGCTGTCAGTATGTTATTGCAGCAAACACAATTCATCTTTTCCAAGAGTATTATTATGGTAATTCAAGAGAAAAATGAAGTACTATCGCCAATGCCATAAAACCAGCACTTTTCATAGGAAAAGCCACTTCAAGCAAGATAACAGAAAAAAGAAAATAATTAGCAGTCCAGGATTTTAAAACAAAGCACTTGAGACGGCAAAAATGTAGCCACGGTATTCAACTTTAATAATTTGGGTTCCTTTGGAAAGGAATGACATGGAAAACGTATCCTGTGTAATCGTTAGAACGTACAGTTTCGCCTGAAAACCCCCGTTTATTCAGTGGCCGAGCGGTTTCAGTTATCTTGGAGTTCCAGATGACATTGAAGCGGAGCCGAATGCGCAATTTTTGTACTTATTATTGTGAACAATGCTCTGTCTCTGGGCTTTTCTCTGTTGCGCTGTTGCGTCTGACAAAAACACGTTGGAAAGACGGTTTGGCATTCGTCACAAGTGTGAGACGAAGGAGTGTCCGTGCCGAGAGAAAAAAAGGCACCACTAGCAAAGAACACGCACAAAAAGACTCAGCGCTTTACATAAGTAGTAAGTACTCATTGTAGCTTTATGCATCATTTAACAAAACGTTGGTTAAAAGGTTATTCAGATATGAATCCGGACACTTTAATAATGCACAAGATAGTTCTTTTAACATGAAATTTCTTTGTATAATTTTAAGAAAAAAAAGACGTCATGCTTACAAAATTAACCCCAATATCACTTGCTTAGTTATCTACTGACATACAAATAACTCATGTCATTGTCAACTTAACTCTTTTTTTTTTACAACACGCAGAACAGAGTAAGATATTTAAAGCTCTTACAAAGATACCCCAGAGACATCAATTTACGCCCCATGTAAAGGGGCGGAATCCTCACAAAGACGTCAGAAACAACCTTTGAGTCTGAAGGATAATGACGGACAAAATAAATCAGATTATCGAAAGTTCACTTTTGACGTAACGATAAAGATTTCGGCGGATTTTTGGACAAGAAAACTTTGGTACGTCTTGATACACAAGCATAGGCAAAACATTGTTTTAGTCGATCTCGATGTTGCAATGTTTACAAAATTAAAAATTTTTTGAGACAGATTATGTAAAAACAACTGTAAAGCGACCTCCTTAATCGAATTATTCGTACAGGATAACAGGTATCAAGACTGATTCTTAAGCTATATCAACAAGAGACTCTCAGAGTTTGTTGTTTACAATGGACACTTACTCAGAATGGCCACTTTGTGCTGGTAAGAAATACCTCTTGGGTTACACTGTAACTCAGCAAACTGTTTACTCAAAAGCTCGTATTTTTCGCCAACGAATTGGATAGAACAGGCCTACAGAAAGTCGCTGTGTATTTGAGTTGTTTTGAAAGTCTTTAAAAACCGGAAGAGGAAAGTTTTAAAAAATAACAGTTTCAGACGGGTAAAGAAAAGCCCTAGCGGCAAGAACAATTCACAAGAGTGCAAAGATGGGTAGAGATGAAGGAGATTAACTCGGATTGTAAATATAAAAAGCGAAACAGCCTGACTGCGATTGATCTCCCTTACTGGCGAAGCTCAATTGTACACGAAAGCGGGCTCAAACTACCTTTACCTTTAAAAAAGAATATTCCAAATCTGACCAAACGTAACAAAATATCACGACAGAACTGCCTTTTAGACTTAATCGTCGCATGGGAAGTATTTTTTTTCAATTAAGAAGAGACTGCAATTCTTTAAGTAGTTTATTGAGCAGATGCTAACGGTGTCCGGGAACTTACTTGTCTTTAATTTAAAGCAACTGGTTGACTTCCGTGGGCAAAATTTTATCACCAAACAATAATCCTTGTTTTCTGACGTGCTAACGTGTTTTTACTTGGCGAGGTCATGGATTTTTCAGCTTAAATTTCGCAGGGTTCAGATGATCTGCAAACATTTAACGGATTGTTTACCACTAATTAACACTGCGCACACCGTGGGTTGTGAAATTTCAGCACACGAACCCAAACAGAAAGAAATCCGCAACAGATCCCGCCGGACAAAGGAAACAAACAAGAGCTTAAGAGTTGATCCAAACACTAATGACTTTTTATTGTTCTGGATCAGTATTTTCTTTCAAGTCGAAGAATGCGAAAACTTTTAAGCTGATCTGTCCAATTATCAGTTTGATAACCAATATTTTCTTACTTAAGAACCACGGGGAAATCAGTGTTGAATTCACATGAACCAGTTCATCCCGTTTCGGATCCTATAATCCATAATGAAAGATCGGTTATTCCGAATTTTCGGCTAGCATTTTCATTCAATTTAATTTTCTTTTTATCCTAACCATTAAGCCGTTCCCTTTTATTTCCGGGAAAATGCCTTTCGCTATTCAATAGCAATCGTCCCAGAAAATCATATATCTTAATTATATATGTATATATTCTAGTATATACCACACAAGTGTCCGCGAGGCAAGTACTATTCACTTCACTTTGGTCAGTAATTGTTAAATATACCGCGTCGCGTGAAGGGAAAGCGAGATGCGCAGAATTTTTTCCAATCAAATCACGCAATGGATCTTGTTAGGAGAAAGGGACTGCGTGGGAGGTTTTCCTATTCCAAAAAACTGATTAAGTTTGTTTATCTTCCTTTGAAGGTAATTTTGCACGTGATAGATAAGAACCCATAATATTTTGAATGCTTTTTGACGAAGAAATCTATTAGTTTTCAATTTTCGCAAACAAATTTCTCGCTTTTTTTCAAACACTTTTTCTCGCTGAATTATTTATTTGGATAAACTGACACATTCGACCGTATTCTGATATTTTTCTTGATAACCACTCAGGGGTGCCTCACTTTTCAATAATGGGTATCAATAATCTGAGAGTTCATTTTGGTAAAGAAAACTTAAAAAAAAAAAAAAAAAAAAAAAGACGCCTTGATTATTTCAAACCGTACCCCGTCCGTTTGAATTAAGAATCATAAATATTAATAAATAACAGTTTCTGATAACTTTGAAGTATATTCAGCCTTCAGACGTTCAAAGGGATTGTGTTTACGAACCAAAGACACCGTCGGAAGTCGCTTACAACGTGAGTGAGCCTAATCACAACCACACATTTGTTGCTTTGTCATCTTGTCAAACTCACTAGATTTCGATATGAAATGCTCGCAGTCGTCTTGTCGATAGGCTATCTTAAAATCAATCACTATTTTTAGGACAGCTATGATGACACACGTGTCTGACGAGGTCAAACCTTATAGCAAGGTATTTTGTCAAAATGAACACAGTATAATTGAGCGTAGAAATGTGTTTTCCACATTACGCAGTTAATTCAAAGCAATCGAGATTTGATCTTCCTTAGGCCTAAAACAACACCGATAATTTAAACATTTCGTCACTTAGTAATTGTCGAATATTAGACGCGATACAAGGCTTGCCTTGAATCATCTCTATTCTACTAAATCTGTGAAACCAGGTATCGTCAACGAAATAATTTAGCACCATTGAACCTAAAATCTACTCGCATAATGGGAGTTCATTCTTCAAAATGATCAAACTCTACTATCCTAATACCTATTTAACCACATCATATCAGCGCATTTCAGGAGAAGACAAGGGTAATCAGTAACAAGATGGTTATATTTGGCATATGTCGACCATATTTTCTGGCTTGTAAACAGGCCCACAAAAGAAGCTTCACGACAAAGCTGGAGTCACTCAACCTTCGATAACCCTCCTAAACCTGATTAATTACTTTTATCTTATGACGTAAAAGATGTCACTGATGATTTTTGCGCAAGTCAATACAGTAAAATATCAAGACTTCCTTACCGTTCTTCCCGCTTCGTTATTTTGTATGTTCATCAACGCTCGGCTGGTCGCTGAGGGTTCTTGCCCTTCCATTCGTTTCTTCTCCACGGCGTCCGTAAACTTCTTGCTAAATCGCACTCCGTACGCGATATTGTCACTGCACCCGCCCCAAATCCAGTCTTTATTTTCTAGTTTCGTCTTCGGCGTTCTCCCGCAGCCACAATGTTCCTTCAATCGTCCAATACTACAGGCTTGAGTCACGCTATAAACTACAGCGGCCGAAGATAACGCGTACACAAACGCAGATTCTTTGGTTCCTGAAAAATTAAGGGATTAAAATACTATTTTTTTGAGCGCGGCGCAGGTAATGAAATGAGCATGTTATCGTAAAAGTCTGTGTTCTCTATTATTTATTTGTTTACATAGCAGCCATTTACGCCTTCCGAAGTGTAAATATTTGCTTTGAGAAGATATTAGTCTTGGATATGAAGCGACCTTTTCAAAAACAAGTTAAATTGTTTTTCCAGATGAAACTGAAATGCTTTATTAAGAAATTACTACTCGTACCACGCAGTTTATAGGCGGAAGAAGGTCGCATTTTTTTAAACAAAATTTTCGCCTTTTACCATGTGGTTAACCAAAACGTTTCCGTCAAACCAGCCTTCTACAATTTGTTGACTTCCGAGTGAAAACCTTGAGGTCGATTTGAGGTTTAAGGAATTACTGCGGAAATGCTATTCAAAACACTACATATCTATTCTGTTTGCGAAATAGCTTTAAGATTAATCGTCTTTGAGTGAATGGATTTGTTAGTTGAAAATGTTTAAAAGACGTAATCAATTCAAATGCAAAATTGTACCAGTATTTGATAATAATTCATCCATCCGAGCTCTCAGTGCATATCCCAAATATCTTTTTGGATACGTCAAAGTAATTAAAGAGATGAAACATTCAGAACTGATTTGTCTGTAAGCGACAAGGTGGCTGGAGTAATTGAAGGCTAGATTTGACGTGCTCTGAGTGTTTGAGTCAATTTAAATCTATTGAATAAAGTACAACACTGATGACTTTGAAATCACTATGTGCCCTCAAATTATTGAATACCCGTCTGGTTCTAAGAAATAATAAAGTTACTACTTCCGATAACGAGGTTTTGAAGCAAAACCCAAATTATTGATCGTAAACGAAGCAGTCTGTACTGTTTTCTAGAACGAAATTCAAGCGTATTTCGTGTAGAAACAAGAATTTTACTGGAGAGAAACACCATTATTTCAAGTTCTCTTTTGTGATGATATTTCCCCGAACACAATCCATAAGCTTCCCCTGGTTTTTGTCATCGATTCTTTCTTCATAACTGTGAATACGAGATTTTACGATAACCGCACTCAAGAAGATGGTCGGGTTTCAATTACTAGCCCCAAGCGATTTCATGTAAAGCAACGATAGTTTAACTAACAAAATTACCTTCAAATAATTGTGTGTTATCCTGAATATGATTATTTTTTTACCCCATGCCCAATCTAGCTCCAGCATTTGCTCGAATGAGCTGATAGTCATTAAGTTTTTGTATAATGGTATTATTCTGACAAAAAACAAACAATACAAAACCTCAATTGTAGCTTACCTCTCTTGAGATCGTTGTAAAACGAAGGAGCCTGTGAGATGGTTGTGCAATTCCATCTTCTGTTCTGTAACTGCGATTTACACTCTGTCTTAGTCATCTCCGCAGCCTCGGAGACATATCTCATGATGGGCAAGCTTCTTCGACAAATTTTATACTGCTCGCCAATGAAGCCGTGTACTTTGCTGCAATTCGTTTTCTGCCATTCAACATCTGACGGTATTTTTATGGCTCTGTGTAACAATAAAAACAGAGAAATCACGAATGGAATATAGACCGCGTTAGTTGAACATACTCCGTACAGAAGGCACAGTACTTCGCACATGCATCTCAATTGAAAAATTAATGGACGAAATCCAGAGGTCAAAGAGTGCAGGAGGAGCAATTCACTGATGATACTTACAACCAGCGTATTCCGTGAAGCTTCTCTGCGAGTATGCTTAGAAGTAACAATACTGCTGCGATACGAAACAGAATGTTCATGCTGTTGTTGCCGTCACGGGCCAGTTCAGTCCACGCAAATAACAAACTTGAGACCTGCCAAGCAACAGAGACGCGATTCTAAATAAGCCGTAAGCTAATCAATACCAGAAGATTTCATATCAAGTGATAAAAAATTTCTCCGATGGCTACCCGACTTGGGTTACATCTCCCGGGCGCATGAATGACCCATGTCGTGCGGAATGTCAAAAATGATCAATGCTTTTGGGGACCAACACATACGCGGTAATATTCTGCTCGCGGTGAGGTAAAAACCCGAATGACACGGCTTGTAGAGGAAATCAATTATTTTAAAAAATCAACTCGGTCGTGCAGTGCGCTCGTTGAGAGCCTGTTGTTTCATCCGACTGAGTTCGATCACTTGAGTATTTATAACTAAAGGTGCACCCCCAATTAACTACGCATCCACGTCTCAACCTGCCCCGCCCTGACTGAGTGTCAGAGGCTGTTTCTAAACTGCTTTCAACAGCACTACTTTTATTAATTCGCTCTGGTTTCCGTCGGGGAAGCCGTGACTTTACCAACTAGCTTACGTCTTAAAGCAGAGTATGACAACAATGTCTCGTGTACGTAATTTGCCACCTACACCGAGTGCTTAAATACTCCTTCCTAAACGCAAAACCGGCAAGGTTATTGAAATAAATCGCCTTTCGTCTGAGATTTCGTCTCGGCGTTAGCAATTGAAAAACGCCTTTCCTTTCCTTTCCTCGCCGCTTCCCTTTCCTGAAAATAACGGAGACCAAGCGAAACAGCGCTGCTGGTATGCCCGCCGTTTGTTAGCAAAGCCTGCTACGACCAAACATTGGGGACCTGTGCAGTCTTAGAAAAAATGACGTTTGTTTAAGAGTTTGGATAGGAACGACTCCTCAGATGTCACAAAAGAACCGAGAGATTCAAAAGATAAAATCAGGATAAGAACTTCAGTGTGGATTTCGTTTCTCGAGGCCTCTGAATATGACATGGCGCGTTGAAAGGCTACTGAAATCTTACGCAGCGTGCTGAGAGGAATCCTTTCAGGGTAAAAGATGCAGGGAGAGATCCTCGGACGACCTCAAGAAGCTGTTAATTGGAAACAAATTAAACCACTTATCGAGCGCAAGAATTTTTACTGCATGCTCTTCAGGGTAATCTGAAAATATCTGAGCGTCTTTCGATGACCATAAATCTTCTTGGGGATATGTCTGTCCGAGTCTAGAAGAGACCCCGACGTAATACGGATGAAAAGTTGCCAGTGCCATTTGACCAGCTGAAAAAAGATTAGTCATAAAGTTACAGAGGGACCGCATTTGTAGAGCCCTCAGGTAACACAGCCGTCTCTCGTTGAAAGAGCTGAGATAAAAAATCTTACCGTGTGTGGCTGATTGAATGTGTCAGATCATGCAGTGAAATCTGGGAGGTCGCTGATCAAATATTTCATTCAGCTACGAGTTTGTACTGTTATGAATTAGATAAGCTCTCTATTACTTTCTTAAGAGCTTCGCGTTGTTTTTATACAACAAAGAAGTTATTGTAAGTACGTCATTGAGATCAAAAGCTTTAAATACGCCAAGAATAGCTGAAAAACTCAACGGGGAGTTTCCATATTTACTTGTTCCTAATTAAAAAACAGTTAACAAACACGAGGTGCGAAAATTGGGTTTTCGTGATAATTCGCTAATGCTCTTTCCTCACAGCCAGCTTGCGTGCATTTGTTCTCGAAAAGTCACGAAATCCTTTATCCTTCTCTAAATGTAGCATATTGCCATCATTTGAGCTGTTAAGAATGTTATGATTTCTTCAAATCGAGTGTTTTTGAATGGCCCGATTGCGCTGCGGAATCAATGTGTATATGCCAGTTCTTCCATGTTGTTTCGCTTTTCGATTCAATAAAAAAGTGTTTTTGGAGATAAACCTCTCTCCATCTCATTCTGATGATATGTACCCAATTATTACAAACATCACAGAGCTCTGTCTTAATCTGTTTCTTAAAACGACATTCGTTGTACTAATCTACACTGAACCAAAGACCCCTTTGAAGTTGAATCTTCTATGATGTTGAATGCGGTTCTAAATATAGCATTGCGGGTTTTTTTTTTGAAGAGATAATCAATCCACGCAAGGTAAATACAGATTGATAAATTAACAGCAGGTCTTGATATTAAAATTCGGTGGGATTGAAATCTTAAGTATGCTCTTGACATACTTTAGATGTACATAAACCACTTAAATTCTTTCAAATCTCGTTTATTATCAACTTCCCAGAGTTGATCACGATTATCACGAAGTTAAGTTTCTAGAGACCAAAAAACCGAGATACGCCCAGGAAAGATAATGCAATTAGGACGTTCAAAGTTCGCGTAGAAAAAATCTCACGTATTGCATAGGCCATAAAATTCTTAATACTACACAAACACAATTGCAAAGGCACTTTGATCAAACAAAGATAACCAGTAGCTAATTGTTTAAAATAAGTGGGACAGACATGATTTATCTAAATTTGTTTTAGTGCTATGAACGTCACTCTTTAAAAAAATTCCATCTCCAGGAAGTTGGCACTCAATATTAATTCCAACGAGTTTTTTTCCCTCAAAAATGTGTATTAGTTGCCCTCATTTAGCAACTTCTTACTTGCTTTGTCAACGAGCTGCAACAGCAATACTCTATTTCCTCGTAAAAATAACTTTCCATCTCTTATTTTGGATATTTATTTGGGACGTGTTTGTTAGCGATTGCTAGAAAGCTTACGAGGTTAATCTCCTCAATCCGTCTTGTCTGGACGTGTCATAACTTTTCATTATTACGTGAGATCTCGTATTTTGCAAAAAGTAATATACTTTTCTTCATGACCGTACTTTATAGGCGAGCAGAAGTAGGCAATCATGTCCCAAATGCTGGAGTTGAACAAAAAAAATCAAAACAAACACCTTGTGATAGGAATTCACATTTAAATATTTCAATTGGTTCCAACAATTTTGCTTTACTTTGCTTTCAATAGGAGACAAATTACATATTTACAGAAAGCACCTGAGCATAATTGAGACGGTTCTTGTTTTGAGGTGACGCAAGATCAAATATGTAGACAGGAAAGCATGCTTTTCAGACAGAGATCATTCTTCCAGTGAAAATAGTTATTACCTGAAGTTATCACGAAACTAGCGGATTGCGGTTTGAATCTCTTGTCGCAATTTTCGTACAATTTCTATTCGCCATTTAATTTGCAAACGCCACCGCTTCCACAGGAAGTCCAAAATATACCAGGCGATTAAAAAAAAAAGAGTTTTAGCCGAGCGGTCAAATCGTAAGGCACTCCCCTAAAGTGCGTCATTCAATTCCCTGTTTCCAGAAGGAAGAGAAGGATTTTCTTCCGAAAGGCAATTTTTTGAAGTCGTTGCGCTTAATACAGTTTGTCACCTCTTAAGGGAAAGTTGTGTGGCAACTTTCTGCGTATCAAGAAAAGCTGATCAAATTCAAAGACAATGCCCTTTCTTACCAAGCTGAGAACGTTCAGAAAGATGTTTTGTTTTGATAGCTGGGTTGGAATCGAATTCAGAGCGCCCTATAGTTGCGCTTAGTGAAGAATAATCCAGTTATTTCCAAATGAATTTATGTCAAAGCTGTGGACATAATCTGAATAAGTAATTGTGTCTTTTTATCTTTCCATACTAGATATTAGACGAAAACAAGAGAGAAAAAATAGGACATTATTTTCTTTTGAAAAGATACTGCTTTTTTAAATGTGAAAATAAATCTTCCAAAGTAATCGATTGGGCTTGAGTTATTCACATAAACCAACCATTCTAAAACTAAGCTGAAATCATTCGAAAATGTAGACATCTTATTATATATAGGGCAGATTTTCTTAAACAGCTGTTAACATCTACAATTTCATTCTTACGTACAGCTTGATCATTAAATCGCCATTGAAATTGATAAAAGGAGTTCAATTGTTATAGGCTCCAATCAAATTTTCATCAGTTGATTTAATGTGTATAAACAGCAGTAGGGTAATTTGATGAATGAGTTAGAAAGATCGCCATCCCTTTTGTGTGATTACAACATAAATGAAAAAAATTGTTCGTAGAGAAAAAGAAAACCAAATGTGAGAAGATCGGGTAGAAGAAATATTTAGGAACTTTACAGATCTTCATAAAAACTGTGGTAAACAGAGAGATTCTGTGAACGAAAGGTTTAAAAAAAAGAGGATTAACTTATGCGGTTTTTTCAAAGATAAACTCCCTGGGAAGAACTTGCTGTGAAGTTTTTTAGTGGGTTACTTCTGCTCTCAAGACGCTTTTCCGATTCCAAACAATCCTGCGCCCTCTAATACATCCGCTTCAAAACACAGGAAATGTGTCTTTAGTATAGAATATTGTCGAAAAGATGTGAAAAAACTCGACAGACCAAAAAAACTTGTAAAATTTATAAAGGTATAACTGATCCAGTTTTTTGTTTGGGAGGGAAGGGGCAAGAGGAGTCAATTTTTATGGGTGTGTCTCTTGGTTCGTTCAAAAGATATCAGTTAAGTAAAGTTTGTATAAGATGTTTAATACAAGAGTGATATGGTCTACCAGGTCAAGAATTCTGTTGGTTCCATGTAATTACTTTGTTCTCAAAGTAATAACATGGAGGTTGCAAAGTGGAAAGAGTTGGTGATAAAGTCAAAGTTATGATCAGTGGTTTCAGAAAAATTCGATCCAAATCTGTAAAGAAATCTTTCGTCAATCTCCCAGTTGGTCTTGTTTGTGCCAAATTCGGTTCAGCCTTGAGCTTCTTAGATTAGTCCAAAGAAAAAATTACAGACACCTGCCCCTCTAAAGACTTTCTTTGTGGTCGAGTGACAGCTTAGATTAATTACACTCAAGAAAAGGCTGGGTTTTTATTGACATAATCCTAATCACAGGAGGCCTTATTATTGAGTGCAAAAGCGCCGGCTAACACGGTGAAAAGTTCTTTCCTCAAAGCAATACTGACTTAAGAAAACTATTTTCGATGTATCAGGATGAGGTTTAACGGAAAACATTTCGGAATCGTGAATAGCTCATCAGCAACGTCTTTCTCCGGACTCGATGCCATGGAGACGATGTACTCACATTACAGTGGTCATCAGCCTAGGAAGATTGTTTTTCAGTAAACTTGAATCGAGGTTTTGACAACTTACTGAAAATTTAGTAATTGATTAGTAACCCGAAGTACTTTTTTTTCCACCAAATTCTCAGTTTGGTAAATGTCTTAAAACTACCTTGAAATGGGTCCAAACCTGAAAGTTTCAGCTTGTTTATTTTCTGCTTTGATTCAAGTCAAACGAAAACACAAAAAATGGCAAGTGGTTCAACTAATTCGACCACGTAACATTGTCAATAAAACTCGCTATTTACTTGCAATACACTTCAATGTTATCAACACAGCTAGCGTAACTCGAGGGATCTCAACGACTTTTTATGGGTCAACACGGCTTTTTTGATTTTAAACTGGTTCACATAGTTGTGTTCTCCTTAACCTGAATTTGTAAAGCCCAGAGGCGTTAAAGGCAAATAATTAACGCGGTTCTTTGAAAGAACCGTTCACGCTTCGCGGTTGAAATGCTAAGTTTGTTTAAACTTACGCGAATTGGATCAAAACCGCTGCCCTTAACTTTGACAGACTGTTCTAGCTCAAGATACTTATGCATATTGTTAGTCTAAATACTTACTTTTCTGAGCTTGATTCAAGGAGTTAAAACATACGGGAAAAACACGCGGCTCCCGAGCAACACATTAACAAGGGGTTTATTATGTGAGTCAAACCCGATATTACTGCTTCACATGAAGAAATGTCCTGCCGTTCGGATCACCGTTCCCGCCTCTCTCTCGTAGAGATATTTCCTTTGTTATTTAAATTAAAAAAAAGTGTTTTTGGCGCCTATAGCTTCTTCCAGCTGCGTTAGGTTGATCCACGAAAGCGAAAGACAATGAGTTAGTATGCATCCCTTGGCAATGATACATTACCTGTAGTGCAAATATATCCTTCCCATAGGAAAATTCTAAATTGTTACTTTTGGGTGCAAGTAAAATAGGCTGCTGAAATTAACTTGAAAAGCCCGCTTTCTATGGAAACAAGATTAGGATCTCACTACTTTGAAAGCCTTGCGTATTCGGTTCATTAACGCGAACGCGTCCTTTCGTTTAACTAATTAAAAACTTGTGTTTTATCCTCTTCGCGTTTTGTCTATGTTGGAGCAGATTACCGCATGTAGCGTTATTGCAGCAACTGAAATTGGAGTGATGTAAACTTTTATCTAAATTGGACGCGAGTTTTCTGAAAATAACGCAGTCGACATAAAAAGAAATATTGTTTGTGTGCAATGCTAATTTTGCTCTTGTTTGGGTTTGCTTCCCCTGATGTGAAATAAGCCGAGTATTGATACTAAATACCGCCTTTCATCTGCGAATTCATCACCAGATTGAATTGTTGTGGTCTGGATCATAACATTGAGGCTTTTTTCTCTAAGCAAGGTTTGTAACTGTCGTCCGATAGCAAAATCCATGTAAACGCTTGTGCTTGATAACTTTTTACTTTAACGAAATTGGAGGGCGTTGTTAATTGCTTTCATGTACACACGATTGTTGCTTAATGTGTTCACCTCCAGGCAATTAAGTTCGAATTCTAAATTTTTCATTACCGATTAATTGACATTTCATGCGTGTATTAAGTGTACCTAGTGAGCCGAGAGTAGCGGGGAGCTTTTAAGAATGATTTAGATACCTTCGCATGATCAAGCGATTCCAACAAAGACTTGCGGGCTGCTCATTGTTTAAATATAAATAGCTGAGATATAATGGGTTACATTGACCACACCCTTATTACAATCATAAAT